ACTTCCCCTAAAAGAACAGGGATTCAACTTGAATATGAGAGAATTTCGGGACGCCGTAAAGCTGCGCTATGATTGGGCAATCGACGACATCCCCTCCATATGATGTGGGGATACCTTCATGGTTGACCATGCCATGATCTGCAAACGTGGAGGCTTTGTAATTATGCGCCACAATGAGTTAAGAGATCTGGAAGCGAAACTCCTCAACATTGTCTGTAGTGAAGTCCAAGTTGAGCCTGTCCTACAAGACATCTCGGGAGAGCAACTAAGTGGAGGCTCCAACAGAGCACCTGATGCTAGACTCGACATTCGTGCGCGTGGGTTCTGGGAAAGTCAACGATCAGCCTTTTTTTATGTAAGGGTTTGTCATCCCAATGCTGATTCGTACAAGGACCTGGAGCTACGCCAAGTCTACAAGATACACGAAAACGAGAAGAAGCGCCTATATGCAAGGAGAGTCCTCGAAATAGAGCAAGGAACATTTACGCCACTCGTATTCACCACCACAGGCGGTATGGGCAAAGAATGTGTGAGATACCATAGTCGATTGGCAGAGTTGGTAGCCATAAAGAAAGGAGAAGATTATGCGACAACTATGAGTTGAATAAGAGCCAGAACCTCATTCGCTTTATTGAGATCGGCACTTACCTGCTTGAGGGGTTCAAGGGCAAGGAAAATCATGTATGATATTAGGAACATTGATTTTAACATTGAGAACGCCGAGAGTGCTATCTCTCAAACAATTTAGATTGTACAATATACAAAGTTTAATTGTTTAGTTATTTAGCGGAATATGTTAGTTTAGTTATTTAGCTACTTAGCGGTAAATATTTTAATTATGTAGCGGTATATGTTCCAGAGTTTGTTTTTAAAATTTAACTGTACATATCAACAAACATTTAGACACTTTGTTAATTATACCCAAAGAACAGATTATATAATATAATCATTGATAACAAAAGCATTGTTGTATATAATGAAATGATGAATAAAGTTGTAATTATTAAAATTATTATTATTATTATTATTATACATATTATTATTATTATCACATTACATAGACATATTATTAGCATGCACTGATGAAGATCCGGGCTTACGGATCGAAAGCTTTGCAGTAAAACTTCACGTGGTGTTTCCACAAACAAAACTATTATATGTTTTATCGCCATGCAAACATACAAAGAACTTATAAGTTTCCAATTTAATATTTCGCAAGATTTCTCTAAATTCCATTTTAGATATAAATGAATGTGATGGCAATACAGATTCCTGCCACAGAACGCTAGCTGTTTGTACAAATACATTCGGAAGTTATACTTGTCGATGCAAACTAGGATACGCAGGGGATGGTCGCAGCTGCAAAGGTCAGTGATGAAAATATGAATTTTTGAAGGTAATTGGATGCAAATCTTTGCTATTTTCCTATGGGTTAATTAATAGTAAAAGTGCAAGAGGCTCCATGCGTCTCTATATTTCGTAAAAATTTAATGTTGCTATTTCAGTCAAAAAATTGGGTCACATACTAATCACAGTCCGGCTTTCTTATGCTTAAAATATCCAGCACGCATTTATTATTATATGCTCTCCTTTAGCTTCAGTCCAATCTTCATTGAAGTCCGGTCTACAGTCGGTACTCGCCGATGCCATTTTCATCATTTAAGATCTACTTAATCACAAACCAATCCAGAATTAAAACTTACCAAGGTATAAAATTTACGTTCCATGCAGGAAATGAAAATATAATGCACATGCCTTCTACTAGTCAGAATCCAAGTGCGGGAGGGGGGTGGTATTTCGCCTGGGGGACCGCCCCCTCCTCTCTGCCTACATCATAGCAGAACAATCTTTGAAACTTGCGCTCTCTTAAATATATTCCAATGAAGTGATTCACAATTATTTTTCGAATGGTATGCAGAATTATCAAGCCCGAAGTTTGTGTTATCAACCGAAGCCAAGGGCTGATGTTGAGAACACGAACCAATAAGGACTTGATAATTCTTCATACCTTGTGAAAACCAAATGTTCAATTCGTCAAAATAATGACCAGTTCCTTTTCCCATTTGTCAAAAATCTTTCAAATCAGTGGATCTATCCATCTCTACCCAGCATTGCTGTCTTCAACTTCCATCTTCATATCATAATCATTGGAAGCTTCTTGGTGAAGAACTTGTCCAAAAGTACATATACGTACTCTCTTAATTTCACGTGGATGTGTATGGCCTCTCTTTGAAGCTCGAGCGAAATATATATAGCTGCGTAAAATTGTTAGCCAACTGTACTGCGTACATGAACATACAATAATATCAAAATAACAGTGGGTGTGGAACAATCATTTATTTATTCTCGCTTTAGTCACGTTGCTCCCAATGCAATATTTCGCAACATTTCCATAAATTCCATTTTAGATGTAAATGAATGCGCTGCGGATAATTTAAATTCCTGCCACAGAACGCTAACTGTTTGTACAAATACAGACGGAAGTTATACTTGTCGATGCAAACCAGGATACACAGGGGATGGTCGCAGCTGCACAGGTCAGTGATGAAAACATTTTTAAAAATTTTGATTTTCTAGGCAATTGAACATATCATTCAGTTTCGTTCATAAGAAGGACATTTTTGCAATTTTACTATACGGTGAATATATATGTGTAAGAAGTCTATAACTGGTTTTGTCAATTTCCATTATAAACATCTGAAATTATTTTGTGAAGTATAGCTGACAGCTATACTCCTATATATGAGTGTGGATACTAAGCAGCTACAACTGTAATTATCTATACGTTTATGTAAATACCACAACTCGGTCATAGCTTTCTAATAACTCAAATTTGTTTACAACAAAGGTATTTATAACATAATTTTTAGCATTTTTCAAAGATACTAATTAAATCATTTGAACGGATAAAAGACAAGACATATTAAAGATTCACGTACAAAGCAAGGTTCAGTTACATATACATGGAGCGAAATATATAGCTGCGTAAAATTGTTAGCTAAGTAATATATAGCTGCGTACAGTACATGAACATACAATACAATCAAAATAAAGGGGGAAAAAGTTTTCCGGACATACCATTTTTCACATTCTTTCCCATTAATGTATCGTAATTTCTTAACTTTAATTTTCCGTAATTTTCGTATATTAGCAAAATTTTTGCTATAACTATTACTTTGTATTCCGAGCAACTCAGATATTTTCGCTGACTACGAAAAATACGTTCTTTTTAATAGCGCATTAAATAGCCAGCAACCCCTTCGCGCGTCGCCTGCCTAGCTGTCACGATACTTCATGAGTACGTGCTAAGGGGAGGACCCCCACGCGTCACTTGCATGACATTGGTCCTGAACATTAGGTCCCTTGACATTGGTTTCCTGCCGTTTTGGCTAATTCGTAGAAAAGCCCTGTATAAGATTAATAATTTAATTCAATGAAGAACTATAGCAAGAGACCATTTTTCAGGTAGTTCAGTTCTGCACTGAACAATTGATAAGCTACAGAGGCAATGATGTTGATCATTCTATTGCCTTAGGTGAGCTAAGCTGGGAACCTCTTAAGGCTGATAGGAAAAAAACAAAGGCGAAAATGATGTATAAACTTTTAAATAATATGGGTCCAAATTCACTTACTAATCTGTTTTCGTATAAAAGTGAATTAACGAACTATAACCTCCGGGATATTTCAAGTGGCCTTCACTTAACAAAACCACGTACAAATAATATGAAAAAAAGTTTTATGTACGATGGTGCATTCCTTTGGAATTCAATTCCAAGAGAAATTAGGGGAAGTACATCCCTTAATTTGTTTAAAAAGAAAATTGCTACCTGCATTGACATTTAAAAAGCGCAATAAAGTACGTGTATATAGAGGATTTCCTGTAAATAGCCTAACTACCTTCTTAATTTAGCTCATTGTAAATAAGTAGATTGTGTTCTTGTTAAACGTACTTTTATATAGTCATGTAAAGATATTTTGCACACGTCCCCCGTGGAAATCAGCTTAAGTTGACGGGGTCAACGTGTTTAAATAAAGTTTTTCTATCTGTCTATCTATCTAGCTAGTCAGTGTTCACAAGGGTCCTCGAAGCATCAGTAAAATATTAAACTAGTACAGCAAGCGTAATAGAAGTGAGCTGTTATCTTTGAGTATATGTGGGAAAAATATAGAATCGTTTTGTCAATTGAAAACAATTAGATCGCAGATGTTTGAGGTGTTAAGTAGGACCGCCATGTATATACGTCAGTGGGTCTAACCATTTTAATGTATATACGTCAGTGGGTCTAACCCATAGAGATTATAAATAACACTAGAGGAGGCATTGTAATCTTAATTCAGTAAAAAAAAGGGAACGCGACTATTGGGGGGCAAATTCAAGTCCCGGATGTGTATTCGTGTTCCCATTGGTGACGAGTTTCAAATCAGCCAATGAGAGCACGATTTTATATCCGGGACTTGAATTTGCCCCCCATTAGCTGCGTTCCCAATTTTTAAACTCGATGCCTCCTCTAGTGTTATTTATAATCTCTATGGTCTAACCATCCCGTCCCAACTTTGCCGTCTCCATGCAGTTAATCTCCCCAGCTAGCACATAACGTTATTACAACGTTGGTAAAAGGTTGTTGCAAAGTTAGATCTAACTTAACTTTCACACGACGTTCACACAACATTAGTTTTCTATCCGGAATAAGAGCACGTGGTGTAAACGTTGGTTTAACGTTGAAATTTAACGTTCCAGGATGTCATGCGACACCTTCTTGGCAATGTTAGATTTCAACGTTGTAGCAACGTTAATGTGTAACGTTTGGACGTGACATCAAAACAACGTCGTAGACAACGTCGTCCTGACGTTAAGATTTGATATTTTCGCAACGTTCCAGGATGTCATACGATATCTTCATGTCTTGACGTTAAGATTTGATATTTTCGCAACGTTCTAAAAAAATTAAACATATGTCTTCTATTATTGAACCTGACAGTTAAACTATAGGTATAAAACCGCATCAGGCCATATGACTTCGTATGCCTATTCAGCTGCAGGAATCGCGAGAAACGTCGCCTTGGTTAGTTCTTACTGGAAATTTTGTCCTGAAAACGTTTTATCCTACTCCATTGTTCTTGGCTTGCGACGCAACTGAAATGTATGCTGACTCTGTAATCTAACGTCGAAATTTTCCTTATATTGTTCAGGTAATTCTGTAATTTAAACTACAGACTGTTATTCAAGCACAGTAAGTCAGTATTACGTACGTCTATTAAGGTAATAAAATGCGGCCTAGAAAAAGTTCCGTCATACAAGATTGTTCAGGTAGTTGCATCCCTAACAACGAAAGCTTGTTCATATACTGAATTAAATATTATTGTCAATTTTCATCCAAACTATAAATTGGATCAGTATTTTTAGCCTATATTATTTGTAAATGAAGCTCTTTCCTTAAATAAAATGATTAAATCAAAGACTTTAGTTAATTGTTCTAACGTTGATCCTAACGTTGTCACAACGTTCCTGCGAGTTCACAAAATAACGTTACTACAACGTTAATTTTCAACGTTTTCTGGACGTTAATCAAACGTTGCAAGAACGTTGAACCAACGTCGTGTTCTAACGTTAATCAAACGTTGTAAGAACGTTGAACCAACGTCGTGTTCTAACGTTAATCCTGACGTTGTCACCACGTTCCTGCGAGTTCACAAAATAACGTTACTACAACTTATAATACCAACGTTATCTCCACGTTCGGCGAACGTTCGTACAACGTTGGCACAACGTAATTGTGCTAGCTGGGACAACCGATCTCAAGGACATTATTCTGGATTGTTGGTAGACTAGCTTATCTAATTAATTGTTGATATTACGGATATTATTGGTGCATAGAAAATATTTTGCTTATAAGTTCTTGAGTGATTTGAATAAAGAATTGTGGTTCGGGATGAAGTCTCCATAAAATGTCAACTTCAGGCCCATAGACTCAATATCACACATAGCCTAATATATCTAAATCTAAGGACTGTCCATGGGGGTTACCCCCCATGTTCAGGTTAAGGAGTGGCCTTATGGGTTTTGTGCCTTTGGTCAGGTTAAGGACTGCCCATAGGGGTTTTTGCGCTCCGATTGGTCAGGGTAAGGACTGTCCATACTGGGGTTTTGTGATCTAGTTGGTCAGATTAGGACTGTCCAAGTGAATCTTGGTCAGATTATCGGTGCCAGTTCAGAATCAGTGCAGCTAATAGGATGTGACATATGAGTAGGCATGATGCTTGTAAATGAACTCTTCACAACCCCGAACCCCTCCCACAAAATAAAGATTTTGTGTTTAATATTGTGTTGTCAACTTTGGTCATTAACTTTTGTTTATAAAGTGATTTCGTTTTTTATCACGTATGTGTGAGTGGACAGTTGTTGTAGTGCAGTACAGTAAATCTACTTGTTAAAGAATAGTATATTTGAAAATATTGCGGTATGATATTTAACCTGCATGATATTTAAGACATTCTGAGTGTTTTCTTGTGAGCTCACAAATCAATTGTATCATTTCAAGAAATGGACACGCACTAACAGTGGAAGTTCCGCTATTCGAAAAGCAGAAAATGTACGGTCAAGCAGATTTTTAGGGTCGTGCTGGATTTCTGTAGGGGATGGTAGACACCACTAAATGGAGTGGGCACCTCTCTACAACCCACAGTACATCCGTCCCTGTGTTTATTGATGAGGTGGTTTGAGATGAAATTGGAGATGGATTTCTGCAATAAGCAGTCGTTCAAGTTTATATCGCAAGTGAGAAGATTTCTTCCAATTTGATCCTAGATCAGACGCCACGGGTTTATTCCTGCTTACCTTGAAAACTCGTGGTGCTAGAACTTTGTTCAAGACATCACAGAACTGTTCTACTGTTATAAACTCAGTGGCTACTCCAATAATCTTCCCACCATAGTTCTCTGGCTCATTGAATATACCTGAAGACAGGAAAAACATGCGGATTTATTTCAAGTTTTCAATCATCTGTATCAACTCGATCATACGCAGTCTGATTATTATCAACACCACGACTATCGTCACCATCATCATATCACCACCAACTTCATCACAACCATCATCACGTCCACCATAGTCTCATGCATCGTCATCTTCACCAGTGACCACTATTACCACCACCATCATCATTTTTACCATTTCTATCACCCCATCAGCATCATCCTCTTCAACACCATCATTACCAGTATCAATATTATTATTATGGCTATCACTGTTACCGTCATCATCATTACCACCAACACCGCCATCATCAACATTATTACCACCAACACCGCCATCATCAACATCATTACCACCAACACCGCCATCATCAACATCATTACCACCAACACCGCCATCATCAACATCATTACTACCAACACTGCCATCACTACCGTAATCTTACTTGCAACGCATTCTCCCAAATCTGCAACGTCCATTAAATACAACGGCTTTCCTTCCATGGGAAGAGCGAAGACGTACGAGCCGTCATCCAATTTCTTTGGTTTAACAAGAGTCAGGTAATTACTAAAATATCCTGGCGTTCTTACGCTGTTCCATATCATTGACCCGGCTTTCTCCATCATGCAATCTTCCACTCTGGCCTTTGACTCAAAATGCTCTAATATAAAAGTTATGTTCTCCTAAAGGCCCGGTCACACTACACAACGACAACGACACGATAAATTGTAAAAACGCGATAATTGGAAAAAAAATTGTGTTAGTGTCAACACTACAACGAAAATGATAAAATTATCGTTTGACGATAACGAAAACGATTTTAAAATCGCTCACCTGAGCGATTTTTTTTTTTCAGTCGAACGATAACGATAAATTTTTGACCAATCAACGCGCGTATACAAGTTATCGTTATCGTTGTGTAGTGTGACCTGGGCTTAAGAGTTCAATAAGACGCATCGCTTATTGATTCAGCATACATGAGGAAACCTATACTAAACTTAATTTAATATTATTATGCAAGACTCTCTACTTGACAAGTGAAATTCTCTCGCTAATGATGTAGGAAAATAATAAAGTAGGGCACATACATTAATCTTATAGGGAATTGCAGACAGTTTTGTTAATCCATTAATGTGTAAGACGGTTCCCTTAACTAGTAAAATTATCTGGCGTTAGATGGAGTAAAATAATAAAATAGGGCACATTTTCAACATTAGGGGCAGCTTAATGGTTAATATTTGGAAACAATTGCAGTTTAATGGGTTAATACTAGTTGTCTAGGGAAAATTGCAGAACTAGTTAAGAACTGATTGGATATTAACCCATCACAAACTGATAGGCCCTACTTTGTTTTTTGCTCTGTATAACGGCAGATCATTTTACTCATCAAGGGCATAGTGTAGGCGCTCAATATTTTAATCAATTCAGTGCAAGAGAAAAACCAATTTTATACTGGTTATAGGTCAATCACTTCAAAACTGCTACTTAATGATTCAGTCATGGGCTATTGTAAGGTCTGATTTATATCAGATACTGATCATCCATAGTATAGTGTATAAACACAAGCGGCTATGCAGACAAACTGGAACACCACGATCTTAGCTGTGATAAGCTTCGTGCGAGGACTGGAAATCCGCCTTTAGACAATTTTGGCTATTTACGTTTGCATATTAAGACTCGCATTAAAATTTATATGTTCTGTCAAATTGATGGACGATCTGATTCTCATATATTAAAATCGAGGCAATGTGTCTATATTGAGAGCTTAGGATACCAGTATAGCACAGTGGCGAAGTAAGAAAGTATAAAAAAGCAACCAAAACAGCGTACCTACGACAAACCCATACATCTTTTCCGCACTTTCCAAACCGCTGTAGATCAGATGTTTAACGCCTTCTTGCAAACATACATCAATGACGCCTTTGCCTTGTCTTGTCTCGCGAGCTCCGTCCATACCGTCCCAAAAGTTTGTGACTAAAAACACACCGTACGAACCAGCTATCGCTTCATATAGCGTCTCCGGTTTGTCAAAATTTGCTTGCACCATCTCTACGCCTTGTGAGACAAGCTCGTTCGCTTTTTCGCTTTCCACAGAGCGAGTGATGCCTCGGACTTTGAATTTTCCTCCAGCAAGAAGAGCCCTGACAACCCCACCTCCTTGTGCGCCCGTTGCACCAAACACTGTGATCAAATGCATCGACATTTTGGAAATTCATTACCCGAGTCGTTGTTATGTAATGCGATTAATTTGTTGAGTTTATATTTGCTTTTGTGTTGAGTTTAATAATAAAAAGTATGCAAATTTATTACTGCACGTCATTGGCAAAACGAGTGATCAATAATCATGGTGGTTGACCAATCGCATGCCATTTGGCTGCATGAACCATGGTAATTGGATTGTCACGGTAATTGACCATTCGAGGACCACGTTTTCCACAACAAGGCCTTTATAAGTATACGTACTATTTAAAAGTTTGGTATATAATAGCATACATATTAAAATTGAGACGTTTTCTTGCCAAATTGTTTTTATTGACGAGCTTTCGGCTAATCCTCATGTCACAGATTGCAGGATCCTCTAATCTGTGTCTGTTGGAATACCAAGCGCCTGTATCGAATTGCTAGTTTTATAAAATGTGCGCGAAAACACCACCATCCCACGATCACCATCATTACCACCTGGTCCATCATTATCACCATCACCATCATAATCAATTATCACCACCACTCCCATCACCAACATCACCATCATCAATCACTACCACCATTATCATCAGGAAGCGGTCAATTTTTATGGCGGGGGGTGGCACCGAAGAGAAATGTTTTTCGTGGCAAACATTTTGCTGACCCAACCATTAAAATTAAAGTAAAAAATTTGATTACCCAACCTCAAATATCAATTAAAAAATAAATACCCACCCCTGGCCAAAAACTTTACAAAAGGATACCATTCAGTTGTCACACATGTAAGTGTGACACGAGTTTGATAACGGCTTGTGAAATTTTGTGGCTTTTCTGCATTCTAAATTTTCGTGTTGTCTGCACATGTACGTTCTTCATGTACTCTCCCAACAAATTGAAAATGATCAAGATAGCGACTCTGATTGATTTACATATTGTATTGACATATGACTGTCGACATATTCCTTTTCAGTCTCCAATATTTCAATGAGTCATGCTTGGAAATGACAATTTTTTAATTACCCAACCTTTGAGTTGTTTTGTTTTTCATTTACCCAACCTTTTACTATCCAACCTTTACAAAATTTTGTTTACGCAACCCTTTTCTCTTCGGTGCCACCCCCCCCCCCCTCCGCCATAAATAATGACTGGTCCCTTATGACCATTATTATCACCACCACCATTATCACTGCCATCATCTCCAACTATCACTACTACCATCACCACCACCATCGACACAAAGCTAGGCGTCAAATGATAGCATATAACTACAAAATATACAATCACATTGTTTATTACAGTATGTTAATACTACTAAAAAGAAAATATCACCCAAGTTAATTTAACCCGGCTATAAATGGAAGCTAATTTTACAAGATACTTTCAAAGTCTGCTTTGTGACTAACAACGAACTCTTCCCAAGATTTTGCCTTCGGATTCAGTTTCTTTGTAAGTTCTATATCACGTTCTATTCCTTTTTGGTAAAGCTTGAACATGGATGCCATCTCTTCCGCACCAGGGAAACCAAGTTTTGCCATTTGATCTGCTGTTTGTTTAGCATCCTGTAAAATGAAAAATATTAACTATAAGAGCAAGAACGAGAGAGTAGTCTGCGACATTCGTTTTATGGATGAGATGGTTTAATTGAGATGAACTCGGAGACAGATCCCTGCAATATGCAGTTGTACTACATTCAAGTTCATTATATCACAAGTGAGAAGATTTCTTCAAGTTTGACCATATATCAGGCACCACAGGTTTTTTCAATACCTTGAAAACTCGTGGGGCTAGAACTTTGTTCAATACATCACAGAACTGTTCTACTGTTATAAACTCAGTGGCTACTCCAATAATCTTTCCACCATAGTTCTCTGGATCATTGAATATACCTGAAGATAGGAAAGAAACCATCTCCATTAACCATCTCTATTAACTTTATCATAGACAAGTCTGATCATTATCAACACCATCATCATCATAACCATCATTATCACATCTACCATTGTCGTCATCACCAGTGAGCAGCATCATCGTCACCATGCAGCATCATCATCATTTTTACCATTTCTATCACCATCAGCATCACCCTCATCAGCAGCAGCATCATCACCATTATCACCATAGCTACTGTATTATCACCATCGCTTAAGTGTTACCACCATCAGTACAACCAACGCTATCACAATTACCACCACTTTACCATCAACACCACTGTTACCATCATGAACATCATCATTGCCACCATGATCATGACCACCATCAAAAGCAGAATCATAATCACCACCATTATCACCACCATCATTACCACCATCACCATCAATCACCAACACTATACTATCATCACCACCACCATAGCCATTATCTTACTTGCAACACATCCTCCCAGATCTCCAACATCCATTGCATACATCGGCTTTCCTTCCATGGGATAATCCATGACATACGAGCCATCATCCAATTTCTTTGGTTTTCCGACAGTCAGGAAGTTGTTAAAATATCCTGGCATTCTTACGCTGTTCCACATCATTGACCCTGCTTTCTCTATCATGTAATCTTCCACTCTGGTCTTTGAGTCAAAATGTTCTAAATACAAAAATAGTTGTTACAATGGAGGCAAAGTAAACTATTTTTTTTTAAATTTATACTGGATAGCGGTAACTATCAGTTCTACATGTAATATAAAAATTCTGTTCTCTGTGAGTATAGGAAACCTGCACTAAAATGATTTAATATTAATATGCAATAATCTCCCCTTGACAAGTGAAATCATGTGGTATTAGGTGGAGTAAAATAATAAAATAGGACACATTTAGGAACATTGCACCTTAATGGGTTAATATCAGTTCTTATATCTCATTTGTGTCAGTTTTCTTTGATCGTCCGAGGTTTATAACTAGTTAATATACCTTGAATAAATAATTACATCAAACTTTTCGACAAAACGCGAGAATTTTTCATCAAAATTTTTTGAAAATGACAAAATATGTTAGAAAACCTCCACAAATGAGATATAAGTTAGTTATAAACCTCGAAAGTCGGTTTATAACTGATATATTACCCTTGGACGCTACGCATACTCGGGGGCAATATATCAGTTATAAACCTCCTTCACACTTTATAACTCTAACTTAACTAGTACTGAAATTCTAGAGTACCAGCTAGTATACAGGTCCAGTAATCAACCCTTTAACTGACATTGCACCCTGATGTGTCCTACTTTGTTATTGGTACTCAATGGGTTAAGTTTAATGGACCAGTATGTGCAGTGCAGGAAAAATTGTTCTTACTTTAGTTATGCTGGATAAGTCAGAACTGTTATTCGATAGCTTTACTAGGTCTAAACTGTTCTCCTATAATTACATCACATTTTGGTCCTGGAGAATTCCAGAGTACCCCCAAGAAGACCTGTGCTGTTTGGTTGTGTATAACTGGAAGCAGTGTGACAAGTTTTATGCTGAGAAGTTTTATTTGCTTGTTTGCCATATTTTACTACAACAAGACAGCTATATACTTATGATGTTTGTGGTGTACGTTACTCTTGAGTGCATCCACACTGGGCAAGCTGAAAAGTTTGCCTGACCACAGCCAATGGTAGAGCATTGGACTGGTATCCCAAAGGTCCCGAGTTAGATTCCCATTGTGGTCAGGCAAACTTTTCAGCTTGTCAAGTGTACACACACTCAGAGTAATGTGCACCACAAACATCATATTCACCTGAGTACATAACACCAACCTATACACAAAAGTATACTTATGTTCAAAAGCTAGTATGCTACAGTAGCCTTCGAACAAGTGCACTTGTCATAGAAAAAATTGGCAACGTACAAATTTTGTTCATCTGTATAATATCAACAAAAAAAATTTGGCAAAGTAATGTCTAATGACTATTTGCATGCGGTTGGTCAGCAATCTATTGTTGTAATAATGGTACTTCATCTTGCATGGATATTTTGGATCTTTGACCCTCCCTGACTCCCTCCATTGCTCCTCCCTAACCTAAGGATAGTGGTGCCCGGACCCAAAATATCCGAGTAAAATGAAGTAGTTACCGTAATAGCTAATCATAACTATAGTGGGGGTCAGAAGACCCGGAAAACCAAATCTTTGTTGTACTTGACAAAGAAAACTATCCATGTGAAAATTTGTCATAGAAAGCTTACTTGTCTGTTGGTTCTTAATTATAAGTGCCTTTTGCAAATGACTTCAAACTTCATTCAGTCATGGGGATTGAAGGTCTGATTTTATATTAGATACAGATCATCCTTCAAGATGCAACATCTGTTTAAATCATCCATTTAGTGTAAACCTGGTGTAATCACAAGCTATGCAGACAAGCTAGAATACTGAAATCTACATGCACTGGCAATGGTTTTGGAAAGAAATCATGATTCACATAAAATGATAAATGGCATGATTTGTTGCACCATCGGCACGCGGACAGTATAGATCACACACTATCCTATATTCCTAGACCATTTTAGCAATTTTAATATGTTTACTTAAACTGATTATAAAGACTCGCATTAATTGATCTGTCAAATCGATGGACGACCGATCCAGTTTGCATATATTAAAATCGAGATTCGAGACAATGTCTTCATATTGAGAAATTAGGATTTAGGATAGTAGCTAGAGTGGCAAAGGGGGGCAACGAGAGACTAAAATCACTAAAATGGATCCGCATAGATACACACAATATAAAGCAACCAAATCAGCGTACCCACGACAAACCCATACATCTTTTCAGCACTTTCCAAGCCACTGTAGATCAGATGTTTAACGCCTTCTTGCAAGCATACATCAACGGCGCCTTTTCCTTGCCTTGTCTCGCGAGCTCCGTCCATGCCGTCCCAAAAGTTTGTGAGCAAAAACACACCGTGCGAACCAGCTATCGCTTTGTGCAGTGACTCTGGTTCGTCTAAACTAGCTTGGACCATCTCCACGCCTTGTGAGGCGAGCTCTTTCGCTTTCTTGCTTTCGACGGAGCGAGTGATGCCTCGGACTTTAAATTTCCCTCCAGCGAGAAGAGCCCTGACCACTCCACCTCCTTGAGCGCCCGTTGCACCAAAAACTGTGATCAAACGCGACATTTTCGATGTTCAGTTTGCAAAATTCAAAGCCGAGACCTTGTTATGTAATTTGATGTTTGTATTTGTTTTAGTGTCGAGTCGAAAGTAATGAAAAATATGCAAAACACTCGTAGTTATTGCGAAATGCTGTTCTTACATGTAATTAATTACTGATATCAGTGTTCGGGCATAGATTATAGCGGGATAGGGCCATAGAGGATAGGGCTCTCACTTCCAGCTACAGTCATTTCCTTAAATTTACACTGAAATTTCCTTAGAATTGAAAAAATTTCCTTAAAACCGGAGGTGGCAATAAAATTGGCGGGAAATCACAAAATATTGTTGTTTTCGATTTAGAAGTTTTTAGAAATATAAAAAGGCAGTTGACTTTGACGTTAAATTTATGTTAACTTGTTTTGTTTACGCGCAGGACACGCGTGTCCCAAGATAAATAAATGTGTTATAATAACGATAGTGATTTGCTTTTCTGGAAAAAAATACAAAATAAAGTGTTGTTTGGATGTAATCTTTTACGAATGTAAGTGATTATGTAAAATATTATGAATGTCAAAGAATTTCCTTAAAATTTCCTTAAAAAATTCGTTACCTTAAAAATTTCCCTAAACTGGTTCAAATTTCCTCAGTTTAAGGAAATTTCCTTAAAAGTGAGAACGCTGGAAACTTCGGGATTTGGGTCATTTGGGTTTTCCCCATTATGGAACGCTACCTGCAGCCGGAAGTTTGAAGCCGCGATTTCCGGTTAGAACCAAGTCTTTCCTCGCGATAAATACGCGCGGCCAAAACACAAGCATTTAAATTTGATTTTATAAATTGTTTTAAAAAATATCCTTGAAAATGCAATCATGTCGCTGCCGAAAGATGTTTTTTATTGAATAAACTTTGTCTTTTTTAATGAATTCATGAAAACTATGCCTAGTTTTTATTTAAATTTACACTTCGTTATTTGTTTTGTTTTTCGAAATGCCAGGTGAGCAGAATGCAAAGTTAAACCTAGTTTTGTCCCGAGTGTGGAAAAATAAAAATCTTTCATAGTACTTTTGACCGACCTTTAAACATGACGATAACAACCCTTATGAGCCATGAATGAGGAATAAGAAGAAATAGATAGTATATTATTATTTATTTATTATTATAAGTATTTATTTATTCATTTTACTTCACTAAAAATTCACATTTCACAGGTATTTATTTATTTCTTGTTTACTTTACTAAAAATTCACATTTCACAGGTATTTATTTATCCTTTGTTTACTTTACTAAAAATCCACATTGTTTCCTGCCAATGTTCCCAAGCCGGCCAAGGTGGGCAAACGGAGAAACAATGTTTCCGCAACTGTAATCTTAGTCTGAACCTGGTAGGAAACATTCTTGTTTCCCAAGAAGCAAAATTGTTTCTGCAACAATGTTTCCACAGGTGGGCAAATGGGAAAACATTTGAGGAAACATCGAGAATCACTAATGTTTCTGCAACAATATTTCTTAGTTTGGGCTTAATTATACACAAAAAAAAAAAACATAAACCTGATATTTGTGATGTTACTCTGAGTGTATATCCACACCGGGCGAGCTTGAAAAATATGCCCGGCCATGGTGGGATTCGAACCTACGACCTTTGGAATACTAGCCAAAAAAAAATCATATTACTAGAATACATTGGTATCGAAGGAACTAGATTCAGTTCCTAAATATCACTTACTCGAACCGCCCTGACCGCGTAGCTCAGTTGGAAGAGCATTGAGCTAGTATTCCAAAGGTCGTAGGTTCAAATTCCTCCGTGGCTGGGCATATTTTTCAAGCTCGGCCCGTGTGGATATACACTCAGAGTAACATCACAAATATCATATTCACCTGAGTACACAACACCAACACAGAAAAAAAACAACAAAAAAAAAACATAAACCTGTGATATTAGATACTTCAAAGAAAATATAACAAAAACAAGCCTATTTTACACATTTTGACTTTTGACATGTGTACATCACCTACAAAAAAAAACAAACACAAGAATAAATAAGACAAGCAGACAGACAGAAGGGTGATAATTAAGTGAATTAAAGCTGAATTTACATAAAAATTATTATTATTGTTATGGATTTCCTTTGAAAAATAATGCTTTACAAATATGTTGGGAGAATTATGTTCAAAAAAGTTAATAAAAAGCCATGGCAAGTCAACCAGGACAGTCGTATAGGCAGCAAGCATTTCCAATCAACTGATTACAACTTGCCTCCTTCATCCAACAACACATGTCGACTCAAAAAATATGCTTTTCCATCTGGTTCACCTGTACATTCTGACCCACCAACATTAACAGCACATGACGAGGAATTAAACAGAAGAACAGACCGTGAGACCATGTCCAGCACATGAAAATGATCCTTCAATTTCAGAAAAAAAGACCAAGATGTGCCTCAAGTGATGAATTACACAAAATTACATCCAGGCTTTATTGATGAGGCATTCTCATCCCTTTCTCAGAAGGTTGAGGTAAGCATTATCAGCCGAGCCCAATCAAATACTGACAAAGATTACTGTTTGGTAATAGACGCAATGTCTATCCGAAAACAAACCATTTGGAATCCAGAAAAAGACTCCTATGGATTTGTAGACTTTGGAAATGAGATTCCTAATGGACATTTAGAAAAATTGGCCACAGAAGCTTTGGTTTTTCTTCTGGTAGGCACCAGAAGTCATTGTAAATGCCCAGTGGGATACCTCTTGGCTGATAAAATGAATGCAAAGGACAAGCCACACTGGTAAAAAGTGTCTTGAAAAAGTTGCAAATGCTAATCTAAAAATGTGGTCAGTAACAGCTGATGGCACAGATGTTAACATTAGTACATTCAAAACACTGGGTTGCAAATTTTCTGGTAACTTTTAAGAATCCAACAACCAAAGATGTTTTTGTGATACTCGACCCTGTCCATAGGATCCTTTATAATGGGCCATTCCATTTAATATAGGCACCCCCCTATTGAGGGGTCTGGATATCCTATGCGGGAGGGGGTTTTTACCTAAAATTTTTAAAAAAAATAGCAAAAATTAGGTGTTTTAGTGATATCCAAGGGGGTAAAAACGATATCCTAAAGGGGGTATAAAGATATCCATGGGGTAACTTCCAAAAATCACATCCAAGGGGGTTCTAAAATGTTTATATCCTAAGGGGATTTGGAAGGGACCCCTCAATAGGGGGGTGCCCGGCTATATTTAATAAATGGAATGGCCCATTGATGGAGATGGCAACATCATAAGATGGAAACATATCGAAGAGCTTCAGAATATTCAAGAACAAGAAGGATTGAACCTGGCAAACAAACTGTCCTCAAATCACATACAATTTCAGTTACTCTGTTGCAGATGCGATTGAGCTTCATGCATATTTAATAAATTTAGTAAAGGCACTTACGTGTTTACAACTTTACAATGCCACTCTGAATCTCTGAAATATCCATGTCGTTTGTGTACACATTCAATTTGAACGAAAAAATGTTTCATTTCCCCGATTTACCGATCGAATACACGTATGAAAAGTTATGATTCATGCTGTATTGAATGAAAATTTAACCGATTAGCTCCATAACAAGAGAGTGCCTTCCTTTTCAAAACCTTTTCAATCACATGTTGCTATAAATGCATGTTGGTTGGCTGTCGCTGTTCTTCGGCGCCACGCAGGAAACGCGACAACGCGCGTGAATTTTACCTCCAGACACGCGTGTCTGGAGGTAAAATTTGGCTTCAGGCAAGTCTGGGCATGTTCAGTTAAGGTAGCGTTCCATATATTTTAGTTCAATGGTTTTCCCTGACTCGAGGCGATGAGCTCTTTAAAAAATCTGGAGTAATATAAAGAAAAGTAGAAATTTAAAACAATTTTTCAACATAGGCTGTTTAAAAGGTTGTTTATATTTAGGGCAAAGCTCAAAACAATCCATGCAAGTGAAATTATAAGGCTTGCTTGACTCGCTAAATTAGGACCCCAAATAGTATAAACATTGGAAGTTTTAACAATTAATTTCTCAAAGAGAATACATGATATTATTTTATACTTTGTAAAACTGTTAGTCTTCAAGTGTCTGTGAAGTTAATTTTGGGAAGCAAAAAGAATGACCACCATTTCTCGAATCGGTTTATATCACTTGACTACATGAAGTATAAACTTCGTCAAATTCAAGATGGCTTCCAATCCAGTGGTATTTTTCGACATTTCTATCGGCGGTCAGGTATGAATTCGCAAAACTATAGATTATTCTATTGAGTTCGGTTCATATTCGATTTGTCTATTTATTTATCATCATGGATGAAGTATAATTTTCTGGTGGGGGAAGCAACACTGTGTAATAATCAAGTCGTTAAAATATTGGTTGTATAGCACGTGTTATTTTTTGTGTAACTTTGTTGTACTTGAGTTTGATGTATTTGTCTTGTGTTGTAGGATGTTGGAAGATTGAAAATGGAGTTATTTGCGGACGTTGTACCGAAAACTGCTGAAAATTTTAGGTAAATGGAATCAATTTGTATTCTATTTATAAACTGTCTGTGCGGCCTTAAACAGACTTCGCCAGGCTATATTTACGGCACTCTATGTACCGAACCGTCATTATAAAGCGTATTGTTTACAACGGATTTCAGCGAGCTCGAAAATAGCTCAGAAGGTTAGGCAAATGGCTGCTGTGTTGTAGTCCGCGGGTTCGAATCCGAGGTGTGACAGGGTTTTTTCGGGTTAGGGTTAGGGGAAGGATTGGGGTTAGGGTTATTTTTGTTTTAATTTGACTTTAACGATAAATACAGATTGTATGGAGACTAAGAACGAGAGTGCCGTAAATATAGCCTGGCGAAGTCTGTTTACGGGCCCGTAGATATAGCCACTTCCTTAAATATCGGTCGACATTGTCCGAGTGTCCGACCCATTCGTGAAATTGTCTGACGTAGTCAGAAATTAACCACCGGACATTCCGTCCAACCTAAGTGAAACTGAGGTTTATTGTAACTTGTCTGACCCGGATCAGAGTAATGTATAAAGGCCCATTTCCACTCAAGAAAAATTTCCACAGACAGAAAATTTTCCAAAAATATCATTGTTAAAAGTTGAAAATTTTCAACTTCAAAATTTTTTTCCGACGGAAAATTTGTGTTGGCCACTCACATTTTACAAAATTTTCTTTCTGCGGAAAATTTTCCTTAGTGGAAATGGGCCTTAAAAGGTGAACTGCAAAATGGGCTTAAGTTGTTGAAATCTTACTGTACTGCTGTTATAGGCAAGCAAGTTAATTTTGGCTTGGAAATAAATATGAATGACACAAATTATTTAATATCTTCACAACATTTACTGTTCGGAAAAAATACATTGATCACACTGATATTAATGTGTGTCATTCAGACTTATTGCAGACTTATTGTCGGAAATAATACATTGATCACACTGATATTAATGTGTGTCATTCAGACTTATTGCCAAGCCAAACTGAACTTTCAAGATCATCGGACATCATGCATATGTCCGACCCAGACTCACAGTCATTGGACATTTTGTCAGACGGCCCTGTAAATAAAGTTTTCTATCTATCTAAATTCTGGCCATTTTAGGTACCGTACTGCATATACCTGTACACCCGATTAGCACGTTTGATGCCGGCTGACAGCCGGAAATTTTGTCTCCGATTGCTCGGCTGCCAGCCGGGCTGTACTATAGTATACTGTTTGTTCAAAAAATGTGTGCATTTTGGAGACTGGTTCCAGAATGTTTTCATAAGCAGAAAACCACCAAAATTACATTACATTTTCTGAAAATCATCGATATGAAAATAATGCAATATGGCTATCAGCTGGGCCTGTCTGTAGTATACTATAGTATACTACAATACATCACGGCTACCAGCCGGCAATACGGCTATCAGCCGATCTTGTCTGTAGTATACTGTAGTATATCTGTAGTACACTGTAGTATACTACAATACATCACAGCTACCAGCCAGCAATATGGCTATCAGCCGTGATGTATTGTAGTAATCGGCTGATAGCCGTATTGCTGGCAGGTACATAGCTGTGATGTATTGTAGTATAGTACAGTATACTACAGACATAATTCTCAATTTTCTCTTTGCCGTAATTGTTTTTTTTTCTCATTTATTTACTTGTCGCATAGCTAGCTGTATGCATTGGGAAGATGAATTTAGATGCATTTCGATGATTTTCGGAAAATTTAATGTAATTTTGGTGGTTTTCTGCTTATGAAAACATTCTAGAACCAGTTTCCGAAATGCGCACATTTTTTGAACGAACAGTATACTATAGTACAGCCCGGCTGGCAGCCGAGCAATCGGAGACAAAATTTCCGGCTGTCAGCTGGCGTCAAACACGCTAATCGGGTGACCTGTAGCAATGCTCTATTTTATGAACCCATGCACACAGCATTTTTATAAATATAATTAAGCTGGCCATCATTATCTTCTAGCTACAGGTGTATAGCTAAGACCCTGTCAAGATGATTTGCAGCAATAGTTTGTTTTAGTGGTGATATACCTATTTGATTTTTCTTTCCAAGTTAAATTTTGAAAGATAAATTATTTTTCTAGTATAAATTAGACCAGTCTAATCCTGCCAATCTTTATTTCTTGCAGACAGTTTTGTACTGGAGAATATAAGTAAGTGAACATTGATTTTGGGCATCTCACTCGACAGAACTAATTGTTAGAGGGTGTTGTACATTGAAATTTCAAGTGTAAATTTTATACATTACTAGACCTACAGTAAAATAAATTTCGACAATTGTCCAGAAAAAATGTCCAACCAAAATTTGTTTGCAAGCTTTCAAATTTAATCAGATATTATTTTTATTTCATTTTGACTGATGGCAAATCACATTGGGCAAATCACGACAAATAAAAGATACAGTAGCAGTTTATGCCTAACACTATACCCTACTTTCAAAATACTTTAATTTAAATTTACAACTAGGTATTCTTTCTAGACAGTCTTGGGAATAGTGTTCATTGTTCCTCGTTTCCTGAATTTGCCTGTTACAACTGTTCCTCAAAATTGCATAAAAACAATAAATATTTGGAAAATTTAACCATAGATTATGCCAGTATGCAACTGTTAATGTATACTTGACTAATTGTTACATATCTCAATAATGAGGAAGTTACATGTCTCAAATAAGGAAGTGTGATCTATGATACGTGAAAATTCCTATGTGTGAAAAATTGAAATTGTTCCACATTCTTTTTGCATGCTACTTCTGCAAATGTTCCTCAGGATCCAGGATGTGATATTTTCCAGATCTGTTTGCAGAGTGATCGGACGCAGTCTATGGTTAAACTTGCTGCTATTTTTTCTAGACAAAAAATCTGGCTAATAATTTAGCATTTTATTGGAAAACTGGTGTAATTTGGTTGGAAAATGTCCAATGTGCGACCATTATTTCAGGCTTCGAGGCTTGATAGGCTTTCTGGAAAATACATGATCATTATTATATAGTCATTACTAAATTCTGTCTACCTGTAGCTTTTGAGAGAAGATACACCAGGTTTTAAATTGAACTGTTTTACCTTGTGTTAATTGTAGAAAGGATGGCGCCCCTATTGGTTTTAAAACTGCAACATTTCACAGGTATTATTGTGAAAAACTTGCATCTACTGTAGAACAGCATTTTGTAAATTGAAGATTCTTGTCAAAACAAGACAAAACAATGCACATGCAGGTGATATTTCTAAGTAATATTTATTTTGAAAAAAAATATAACAATTTATTGTTTTGTCTTGTTTATTGTTATCTTCAGTTTAAAACTTGTTTTTCTCCAGAATATATTTCATTATTGAATTATTGATATTTTAAGTCGCATGCTGATTATGGCTGCATTTACTGCTATTTTTCATACACAGTATTTGATATTATAGAATATTTAGTTATTGTAGTACAGTAAAAACTTGCATCAGTGGGTTAGCAGATATACATGTATGCTTGATTTAATATCATAATTTCAAATTCTAAACCAGGAACAATTGTTTTTGACTAGAAATACGAACCAGTTAAGAGCCAAATCAGCCTGATTTTTCACCAAACACGTACAGTATTGTACAGTATAAGATGCAATTGTCTGTAATAAAAAAAACTGTAGCTGCTTCATTCAAGAGACAATCATGGAACAAGTTGTCTCTGATGGCCTAATGATAAATTCCCACTCTTTGGTGTTTATTATGTAGGGTTATTAAAGATTTTATGGTCCAAGGAGGTGATTTTATAAAGGTGCTGTATGGAGTATAACCTTGTTACAAATGAACTTTAACTGGCACATGTACATGTACATATGTATTTGTACACACTGCAAAAGCCCTAAGTATTTTGATTCGAAAACTGGATTAAAATAATACCCCACAGTGACTCAAAATTTAAATTTTGCCCTGAATTAAGAAAAAAATGCCTTCCTCATTTGTCAATCATATTTGAGTAATTTTGCCTTCTATATGATTATGGGTAAAATTACTGACAAATTTATGAGCAGTGTGAGGACCCTCTGATGTAAACACAATACCCAAATTTCGCGTTGTTTAGACATCTTCTAATCTAACTTTTTAAAGCATATTTCATGAATATAGTGTTCCGCTGTCTGAACGGATTTGACCGCCTCTAGCCTCCTCCGCAGGCATCTCGTAGTTCACGTACTATAGAAAGTTATTTTTTTTGCCTGCAAGCAAATTTTGCCCGATAATTGAAAGGCGATGCCTGCGGAGGAGGCTAGACCGCCTCCTAAATCATGTTTTTGAATCAGGGTTAACGTTATGGGGTGATCTGTCGTGATCACATAATTTGCAAGGGTGTACGTCTGGAATCTCTCGTTTGAGGTCATAGACGGATTTTCATATTTTTTACTGGGGTGGTGCCAGAAATTTTAGGGGGGTGAGCCGTGAGCAGGTGACTGAAGCAACACAAAGTGTCACCAAACCCCAGTAAAGTCTATATTCTAGGGGTGGATCACTAGAGCCGCGAGGGGGAGTCTACAGAGCAGAAAACAAAGTATCCCTGGAAAAATTTGAAAAAAATCATGATTTCTAGCTTCGAAAAAAAGTTTTTTGAAGTTGTCATATCAATGGATTTGGCATGTCCGGAAGTCTGTTGAGACTTGAGAGAGTTAACGTTAAATGAACCTGTAAAAGTGTAAACCCAATAGGCCAATACACAATATGCTTTTACTTTTATATAGTCATTGACATTGTGTCGTTTGAATCCGAGTACAATTTATGACGCAACTCCGATGTAAATAATGTTTGGGGCGTAAAGATTAAATCTAGGCAAGTCTATTTCCTAAAAGAATTAAAAACTAAAAATAATGTTCGTAAAAATTCCAAATGTTCCTTGCGAGCAAGCTATTTGCATGACAAGGCACTGCAAACTCTATTCAGGGGAGATAATAGAGTTTCAAAACTTTACAAGTTGCTCCAATAAATCAGTGAATGCAAGCGAGGAGCGATTAGTTTCAGAGTATTGCACTGTCTTTTTCTATTTGAGTGTACTCCTACATTTATTTTGTTTCATCAACACTCTGCACGTTGGAGTGGACTATATAATTATTTTTTATTATGCAGAATATGGGGGGGTTGAAATTTTTTTTGGAGGGGTGGACATTTTGTTTGGGGGGGTTATAGCTAATATTGGGGGGGTAGCACCCTCCCACAAAATCCGTCTATGTTTGAGGTTCCGAGGTTATTTATTAAATGCATGGTCAAAGAGAGTTAACTGTTGCGCTTGACTGCCGGAATCTTATATTGACCCTCCTGTAATCAATTAACATCAACTTCGAACTTTCATCACCTTTCAACGAATTGTACCAACAGGTGCGAAATGTCTTTTTATCCTTGATAATTCTTCATATAATGCTCAACCTCATTCAATAATTGTTAAGTATCGCCATTAATTCCTAATAATCCACGATTGTTCTCTAAAATCTTGGATGAACAAATATAAATCTATTTCCATCCATGCAGCCTATGAATATGTCCTGGTCAGAACCAATTTCAGTATGATATCACTTAATCAAATTACAGTACTATACACTCATAACAATTAGCCGATTTATAGAAGATTTTGTTAGATTTTAAAGGGGCAGTGTCATCACAATTTTTATTTTCTTAAACGCAAATGCTCTTAAAACTGTATAATAATTTGTTTTGAAGATTTTGGTTCTCATGCTTAGTTCTTGAGATATTTCATTTTGTTTGTAACCATGCGACGTCATTTACTCAATTACATATATTAATGAGATATCAGTAATTGTTGTGTATCTTTGCTATTTTTTATCAAAATCTTTCGAAAGATGCGGCGCGTTTTTTAATTTAACCTACATCATTAAGCATACTGTTTTTTAAAACAAATCCATAAAAAATTGCAAAGATACACAACAATTACTGATATCTCATTATATATGCAATTGAGTAAATGACGTCACATGATTACAAACAAAATGAAATATCTGAAGAACTAAGCATGGGAACAAAATTCTTCAAAACAAGTTATTATACAGTTTTAAGAGCATTTTCGTTTAAGAAAATAAAAAGTTTGATGACAGTGCCCCTTTAAACTCAATCAGTAATTGTTTGCATCATATTTGCAGGGTGATGGTACAGGCTTGTGTAGTATATATGGTGGGGTTGCTTTTCCAGATGAGAATTTCAAGTTAAAACACGACAAGGCTGGTTTACTGTCTATGGTAAATAATGTATATTTTGAAATTGAATGAACTTTAAAATACTGTATGCTGATAATTACATGTACATGTACATTATTATTTGTTACATAATTTGTCATGTGTTTTTAGGCAAACAGTGGACCACATACTAATGGCTGTCAGGTAATTGTATAATTAAAATAAAATTATGATAATAAAATTATGAAATTATAATTTTACATTATTATTCAAACACTCATTAATAATTCATAAGCTTGTTGGCGAATCATGTCAACCATAATATGTCACGTGCAGTGGCTTTAAACCTGATAAAACACTCCTAATTAGTATTCTTTATATAAAGAATACTACTAATAAGGCAGTATCTATTGTTGTCGTGTCCTCATTAGTATTTTTTATATAAAGAATACTAATAAGGCGGTATATCTATTGAATTTGTATAGTCGTGTTTGAAGCAGTTTAATAAACTCGCAGGTCGTGTTTTATTAGGTCTAAACCTAATAAAACACTCCTGCTCGTTTATTAAACAGTACATAATATATTCGGGATTGAGGGGCGGGGGGACCACGCTTCTTTTATTGTTGTGTATCGATGTTTTAGTGGCGCAGTGTGACGTTTGAATACGGATGTGATTGTTGCGTATAGATAGTAATTAGAATCAAAGATTGCTTTTCCTTTAATTTTTGTAAAATTTGGGGTGAAAGTGTGACCGATTTTGGAATGGAAAAAGATCAATGTTATTGGTATTATTTTTTTGGTATCAATATTCAGTATTTTTAAATTTCGGTTTTTCGCTTCGCGCGAACAAATTCGCCTAGCGACGCTACCAGTTCAAAATTTCGAAACTTAGTTGGATTAAGAATTGAGGAGTAAGGAGTTACATGCCAATTACAAGAATTATGTGGAGTTAGCTATCTGTCTAAGTTTCCGAATTCAATAATTGATTTAAAAAGTGTTGTTTCCTAATATTAACAATATTTGAGGGTCAGGATTGGAGGAGGATTTTAATTTTAAAATATCGACAATAGTGAGAGGTCAGATTTAGAATTATTAGGATTTAGCCTACGAATTGGATTTAGCTTACCTGTAACTATGTAAGTCTTGAAATATATTAGGATTATAGAACACATGTATTAATTAAAAAAGAATTCATTTTTCTCTTTCCTGTAAAAAAATATTTGATTGTGCGTGCATGCAGGGAATCCAGTCAATGCTAATGTTAGCCTGCATAACGGCTCAGAGAAAGTAGAGCCTGCACGAAACCCCCTGCTTTGCCATTTCCGCCCACTTAGCCTGCGGGCTACGCCCACTTTAAACAGATGTCAAAATTGGCCAATCACACAGATTGTTTATGTTCGCAAATTTCAAAACGAAATACTGTAATATACGGATGGCGGCTAAAGAAAATTGAAGTCTGTGGGAATAGCGCTAGGCCTAGGGCAATCTCCATCGTTGTCACAAGTAGTTTGCAGTCCGTATCTACGATATTTCGTAGCTTTCTCGCACACGTACAAATAGAATTTATAGTTTCGACAGCGGTCAACCGTGATGTATTAAATGTTAAAGTTTCGAGCGATGCTGATAAGAGAATATTAAAGGTGTTTAAAGCCATCACTTCACAGAGAGCAAGTCCTGTTCATAAGACATAAGCATTTATAGCAATTCTCTCCTGGCACAAAATTATTAGCTACAAAATCATGAAGAAAAAATCTGTTTGTCGTCGATGAATTTATGAAAACGAACACGCTCGTGAGTTGTGAAAGAGGCGCTGCTAACAGACAGCAATCCAACGAAGACACCACAGTCAATATCTCTAGAGCTTCGTGAACCAAGTTCGTAAATAACTTTAATGTTCAACCGTAAATCGTGGCTTTTAAGTTCTTTTGAATGCAAAACTCAAAGAAACGCCTATCCGCCGTGTTTGTATCAATTTTAGCATAAATTAGCATATTTTTTCATTTTGAACCAATCAGATTTCTCGTTTTCTGAGAGAACGGGTAAATACGGCAAAGCAGGGGGTTTCGTGCAGGCTCTACTTTCTCTGAGCCGTTATGCAGGCTATGCCTAATGTAATGATTAATGCAAATCAATAACGACAGAAACAATATTGTTATAATACTAAACTTTATTTATTCACTATGATTTATTACATGCATAATTACACTAACATTACTGTACAGCATGCTATATGTTTTGGTTACAATAATACCATTTCAAATCTACATTTCACTGCCTTTATACAGGAGTCTAGAAATCATATTTCACATTTGCTAAACTATTGAAATCGTTATTTGAACTCTAATTTTACGATCGTTATAAATTGAATGGAACATAATTTGGATTTTGTTTGAAAAACAGTTCTAGGTGTTTGCATGCAGACAAGGATGATTTACAGTACAGTATCAACGTTTCTTTTAACAAACCAAACTTTGATCAAAGTGTGTCAAGTTAACCCTATTTTAAGGCAGGTTTTTGCCGTATGGAAGTTTCTTTTAACAAAGTATGGAAGTTTCTTTTAGCGTTTTTTATACTTAAATAAAATTTCCTTGAAAAAAAAACTACATCGAAAAAAAGAAATATGTCGCAAACATCTCGTCCAATTTGTAAAAACATGCACTCGTGAGATTTTCAAAGACTTCAAATTGCACTCGTCCGAAAAGTCCTTCGGACTCGTGCAATTCTGATCGTCTTTGAAAAAACTCGTGCATGCTTGACTTTGCTCGGTTAGCCCTATCAAAGTACAAGTACTAAAAAGTCATTGTTTATGTTATATTTTTGTTTTGTCATATAAAGCTAGGATAATGGTAAAATTTGGTGAAAATGTGTGAAGTGTAAATCCTATTAAAAAACTTCAATCAAAGCAAAAGTTTGTTTGAAAAGTCAGTTTATCCGGTGAAAGTACGGGTAATACACGAAACTCTTACGAACACCCTCCTACTGTAAATCATAAGATACTACAACATTTTAAACACGACTAAACGAAGTTTTGAAAGGACGTTTTACCAGACTCCACATTTCTTTTTTGGATTCATTCTGCTTCCCGAAGTACATTTGAATGCCTTAGCAAAGTATTCGGAGTTTGATAACGTACCGATTACCCTAAAGAAAGAATATTGAAAATGAAAATTCACTCAGATGGGTGCAGGAATTTAGTTTTAAGTATCCCCCACTCCTCATTATAGCTAGCTTAATTCCTACAGGTTCTTTTAAATGACAGCAATTTTTTATGAGCAAATGTTCCACACTATGACGTCACAATGAATAACTTTTTGAAAAAAAACTTCAATTGGGATATCGTGCATCGAAATCATAAAACTGTTCATATGTATGTGTTATGAAAAATACTACAAATATATATATTATATGTTGACAAATTTAAGTCAGTTATATCTATAAGAATATATCTATAAGAGTTACAAAAGTTGTTTCAAAAGCCATTAGGCATGATACAATTTGACGTCATAGGATAATTTGCATATGTCAATAATTTGCATATTATTTCTTCTCAAAATAACGCAAATATTACCCATACTGAAACATCATATTTGAGGTTAGTAACACTTTGACAAAATATTGTGTAGTTTTAGTTCGAAAATGTTGTCTACTCAACTATTGTTTCATTAGTGGTTTTAGGGAATTCACTGAACTAAACCAAAACAACAGATCAACCATGGCTTTCTATTTAAAGTACCTGAATTTTCCAGGCGTGTGAACGCCATTCTCGACTTGGGATAAAGCAGATTGTCTGCGGGACTTGCCACACCATACCTGTGAAATACAGTAAATTATTACCAAAAATTTACTGTGTGCTTAGTGGGAAATTCACATTTTCGAACAAAATGCATACCCATCTAGTAATAATACTCAAAACTCTTAAACTCTATTGAAATAACTGTATGTAATAACTTTTTATCATATTTTCCATTCGTTTACTTGTCTCTTTTGCTCTAAATACACGCTTCCGGAAAGTAGATCACCTTGGCTATATAGAACCTTGTTTTCGTTATTGAGACGTGGCCTTTATCAGATACAAGAATCAGATATTAGATTTAAGAAGAGTGTATATTCCCATCTCATCTCAAGTTCGGTAATTTTTTGCCGTCCTGATCGGCAACGAGGTCGGCATTTGTGATTTTTTACCTGAGCAAATCCAAGGAAAAATAGTTGATCATTTGTTGCGTTAAGTCCTGGAAGTAATCGTTCACCACCTAGCTTCTTTTTATAACCTGATAGGCCTGAATCAAATAAAAAATAACATTAATCTCCTGCACTGTAAAGAACAATCCAGAAAAATCTAAGTTTTGATTAATGTTGTTTTAGCATAGTGTTTTGAATTTAACTTCTACCATAGTTAATTGGAAGAAAGGGTTTGGAAATTAGAATAACAATATAAGTTCTATAACTCATTATATATGTTTTTGTTTAGGTTTATTCTGAAATAAAACTAGGACATGGATAAAAGCAGCAAGCTTGAATGCATTTTGTGTGCATGTGTATAGTAGTCACTCTATATGATCCTACACGCCCTATTATTCACATGTATAATATAGTACAGTACCGACAAGTCAACTGAGGTGTTGGGGGGGGGGAGGGGGGAGTGATTCGAAAAGTCTCAATATATTTTGTGGGCGATTGCAGATAAATCCAGATAAAGAAATCCATTGACTTTTATGATAATGGGTCCGGAGCCACGATCCGGAATCTACGAGTCAGGATCCGGAGTCCATGGGGGCGAGATCCTAAGTCCGACTTCGTCTCTGATTCCTTACATTTGCGTTTTGACTGTATAAGCACACGAACCTGATAAGCTTGTTTTACTCCGCCGTTATCAGCTATATTTTCACCAACCGTTTGCTTTCCTTTTATCTATATTAAAGCAAATATACATCGATTCATGACCGAATGTAGATTGTTTGCAAAATTTAAAACTTTGCCTGCCAGTAGTTGTTACCACTTTCATTTTGAGAGCCTAATGGTCTTATCGTATCGTTATCGTTATGTAGTGTGACCTGGGCTTTAAAACGTTCAAGCATCTTAAAAGTAGAGCAAAATATAAAACCTGTAATGTATAAGTTATCTATAACTTATAAATTTAGAGCTGTGTATAAATTATAAAATAAAATAAAAGATTGTAATCTGTTTATAACTACTGTATAAACTATAGAATATAAAAAAGATGGTATGAAAAGTAATAAAGTTATTAAAGTATTACATAGTCTAAATTAAATTAGAATAAATATACATGTAGTATAAAGTTTGCAATGAAGTAAAACTCAAGTAAAAAATAAGGGTACAATGTAAATTCCATGCGCTATCCGGCTTTCGGGAAAATCAAGTCATTCAAACCACGAGGAATGTTGTTTACACTTTTACAATATAAAATTAAGTCCATCATACTCTACATCCACTAAACATCCACTTACATTTTTACCGAAGTATTTATAATCTGAATATTGTTGTATAAGACATTCTGTTTTGTTCTTGAATGCTTCTATGGAATGATTGCTCCACCATTTAATGAGGTTCCCGAACTTATTGAATCGTCGCCCTGTTTATAGGATAATAGCATATCAGGCTAAGAAATCATTGCATTTCATGCAAACGTGAAACGTGGGAGACCAGTATAGGTACAGTAGTACTCTACAATATCGAAATTTTGGGCGTCTTGGTCGATACAACTAATGGTGCATTGGTTTTTTGTACAGATGGGGTTTTCGGACATACATTTCTATCACTACAGTATTAGTTCCATCTCGATATTTATCCACATTTCTACTACATGGCATCACTCTATTATATATACAGTACAGGTCAAATGTTTTAGAACACCCTTTTTTTGCTGTTACAAGAATAGTCATGCTACCAATTCAAATGAAAATTTAACATGTAATAGAGCGACCACTCATTGATAGTTTTTGAAATTAGCATTGTAAACGGAAGTACAGTTATCACCAAATGTACAACTAGACTACTGTAGGTTAAAATAACCATGACATTTAAATAGGAATATTAAGTTAACCCAAATATAGGGTTATTTTCTATAGGTTAACCAATCTTAACCAGAAGTGTTTTTAGTGTATGGCGATTGTTTGTGCCACGAGTGTTAAGCAATGTTCTTTCTTTAAAGAGATTGTTTATTGCTTACCGTTGTCATCAAAACCATGTGTAATTTCGTGACCAACAACAGCACCAATTGATCCATAGTTCAATGCCCTTGAAGAAAAATTAAAATAATGCACTCGAATTATGGCAGCCTATTCAATTAAACCTTCACCGAACTGTGACATTGTATATTACTGGCTGGTAACTGGTCGTTTCGTCCCCTTGCCGTTTTGTCCCCGGTCGTTTCGTCCCCTGGTCGTTTCGTCCCTTTGCCGTTTCGTCCCCTTCACGTTTCGTCTCCAGACTATAGATACTGTTTTATCTATAACCTACTTCCTTAATACAATATATCTTACTTTTTGAGATTGTATCTCAGTGGATTGTATGCCTGGATAATACACATTTTTGTATTTAAATTCCGAAACTTTGAAATGTAACTTAAATATTTGGCTTTTATTTCACAATATTAATATTGCTGTTGTCAGTGACTATTATAATTATAATTATAGTGACACTTGACTTTATTTTAATTGGAACTGAGTCTGAGGAAAACTAGACCAATGACAGAATGACTGCTATTAGTGAGCTTGAGATCGCAATATTTTTGTCAACACGGACGTCAGTTCGTCGAGGGGGGACTGGATTAAAAAATGTGTTTGTGTCAGTTTGTGGTAATCTTCAACACACATGACAAAACCTAAGATTTTTTAAGTTTTTTGCTTCCTTACACGAGCGCTATGATGCAAAATGTCGCCAAAATTAGTCCTACCAATTTTCGGGTGATGTCTGTGTTGGGGACGAAACGTGAAGGGGGACGAAACGACCATAAAACTGACTATAACCTATAGAAATAACCCTATTTGGATTGGTTATATTACCTGGTTATTTTAACTTCCCACCATAGTCTGTTAATTTGACCAAACATATAACAATACAGGAGTCCCTGATTCACCGAACATAGTCTGATTATTTTAACAAGGACGTTCTGGTTAAATATAACCAGATTCCTGGTTACATTAACCAGATTATGGTAGGATGTGAGATAATATCCAGGAAATTTTACCAGTAAAATAAAGTAACCCAAATAGTGTTAGGCCCTATTTCTAGTAAATTTTATCAGTAAACTTTATGCGCTATATATAATTGGTACCTTGGTCGATCCTTGTTGTAAAATGGAGATTGTAAAATACCAGCAGGGAATACTAGCAGTAAAATAAGTAAGAAATTAATACAGAAATAAACAACAAATTATGTGTATATATTATTTATTCAATATATGCACTGACGATCATCCGTGCTTACGATTGAAAGCTTTGCAATAACAATTACATGGTGTTTCCATAGACCAAATCTTATAAACAACAAATAGTCAGAATCATATTAGTTTAGCAGTTACATGTGGAGTATATCAGGGAAACAAGTTGGACCCTTTATTAACGTCTGCGTGTTTCCTTTCATTATTAAAGTCAGTAATGCGAGTCCTGCATAGGCCAGTCCAAGTGTATCTTGTGGTGCTACGATATAAGAATCAAAATACAGCGCTATATGTGCTTCCTTTTTGTAAACCATTAATTACAACAACCATCTTACCAATCTTATTTTTCGTGGATGAGTAGTATGCGTTCACTTCTTGCGGTCGCATATACCATCTAACAACGATAGAAAATTGCATATTACACCAATACAAAATAAATAGGGTTGCTTTAACGCCTGATAGATATAATCTAATCTTCGCGCCTTTTTCGAAGTTTGAAGGCGTGCGTGGCGCGAAGATGGCGTCAGAGTATGAAATAGTATCAATCACACTATTATTATTAAAAATAACAAATAACCAAAAAGATCTTACTCTTTGTTGCTGACAGGTTTTTTTATTTTTTTATAATTCTCCCTCGCAGAGAACGCGGACTTCTTTAAAACGTTGTCGAAGTAATCTTCTGTTAGCTCCAGCTAAAAATATATAAACCAATATGGCATCTCAAAACTTTAAAATGTGTGTCAAACCTGATTTAAACCGTGACCTTACCCCATCATATTTTTGCGCCAAGGCAGTTTTATTTTTGATGTATTCGGGATAGCCAATGTTTTCCAATATTGCTTTAGCCTTGAATGAGTAAGATAAATATTTTTTATAATTTTTATAATTTAACATTTATAGTACGCGCTCGCTGATTGGTCGAGAGCGTTTTTCTATAATTATGGAAACATAGGAAATTTCCCATCTCGCAGCTTTGATTTTGACAACGTAAACAAAACAATTTTAACACGTTCTACAATCGAAAAGACTGATATTACTAATTTTGACAACGAAATGAAGAAACCACGGGACAAAAAGCGAATTTTCAGTTTAAAAAAGGAGAACTTGACTATTTTGTGGTGAAATTCACGAGCAAATGGCAACCTCGAGAGGATTTTATGCTCAGGTGTCTGATGAGAATTCACAAATTAGGTGATATAAAAAATAACTATAAAAAGCTTTTTGAATGATATTATAGAAGAAATAGAAAACATTTTTCCTGTGTTTATTAAAATGGCCAACACTGGAAAAGCGTAGAGAGTATATCACTTGTGGATCTATGGCTAAATGGCCTTATTTTTGAAGACTTTTTTAAATATATTAAGGATGATTTAACCAGAGCAAACCACAAGTACAAAGCTGCAAATTGTTATAAGTATTCATTTTATTAGATTAAGTGGAACAACAAGTATAGAAACACTTGTGGTAGTTTGGGAGAACTCGAAATTCCAAACTTCTTCGGGTTTTGAATTCCAAATCGTTCTTCCAAACTTCCACGGGTATTTCTATAACTGCACTGCCTCGTCCCCAGGCGCTAATAAAAAAATTTCATGCGAGTCACTATATGAAAGGTTTACATGAAGTAGTGCATCGCGACGAACAAGCGCAGGGAGTTGTGGGCTTGGGGCATCGAACGCTCATATCCCACTCCCCTTCGCGCGCCTATAATGTGACGCACTAGTTCATGTAAACATTTCATATAGTGACTCGCAATAGTCTCGCATGAAATTTTTTTATTAGCGCCTGGGGACGAGGCAGATAACTGCATGTATAGAAACGCGGATAATGTTCATATTTCTTAAATATTATTCAAAATTTGTGAATCTGGGTATGAACAAGGTGTAATTCACTGGAGAATATAAAGCAAAAAATAATCCGGAGAAAAACATTTGGTAAACTGAAAATTTGAGGTAATCTTTTATTCACTAAACTATATATAGTACCTTATCTTGTGCTTTCTTCTTTGTCTCTTCGTCCATCCAGTCAACACTGTCCAAGTTTGAAATGAAAATGTGCTGAATTTCTGTGATTAATTCTTCTATCTGTGTTTATAGACAGAAATAAAATTGTAGTAATAAACAGGGTTCCTGATGAAAGACGGCAGCGGGCGGTTTTCCGTTGGTGAAAAGCCGGATTTTGGCTGTTTTACATACGGCCAAACGGAGATTTGCGTCCGGCCTTCTTTTCCTTTCGATCCACCCTCACTTAAGGAAGGCAATTTAGGGCTTGTTACTCAGGCTAGTTTGTATAAAGGAATTTCTTTAATACCTTGCTTACCTGTTTCTTACTTGCTCCGCTAAATTTCTCATTGATATACATGAGACCAAGAGGCATTCCAAATGCACTAGCTGTAGCAGACAAGCACCTTCGCCACTGTGGTTCCTCTTCCACCGCACCACTCTTTGCTTTTCTATATTCCAGAATTACCTTGTCGAAGTCGTCTGAGAGTTTGCTCATGTAGTTACTTATGACTCGCCACATCATGTAGTTTGCAACAGTACTGATATAATTTTACAAAAAAATGTGTCAGTATTTTGTGTGTGTTGGTGTTGTGTACTCAGGTGAATATGATGTTTGTGATGTTACTCTGAGTGTGCATCCACACTGGGCAAGCTGAAAAGTTATGCTTGGCCACGGTGGGAATCGAACCCGCGACCATTGCTAGTCCAATGCTCTGCCAAC